GTTATGTTCAGAGATGAACTGAGTGTTGATATTCTCCTCACAGCTGCAGTGAAGTGTTACTTAGGCTTTTTCAAGAAACTTTTAGTTTTTATTTCAGGAAAAAGTCCTCTCGTCTTTAAAGGCAGGTGATTACATTTTGTCTGTTTGCATCACAGCCAATTATCCATCCTTTTACATTACAGCACAGTTTATAATTCCAGATGCTCTTGTTTCTCTAAAAGCTACAATAGATCTGATTTAAAATTATTTACATAAAATAATCAAACTTGGACCCTACCCAACAGCTAAAGACTGTTCTTCATGGTCATCAAACCCAGATATAATTGACCCAAATATTGTCAAGTTGTTGAATTTGTCAACAAAACATGGCACTGTAATTACTGAATTAAACTAAAGCTGACCCTGAATGATGAGCTTTTACTTAGTGTTGCACGTAACAGAATTAGCCACCTAGCATGGTCTTGATTTTACCAGTGTGTTGAATTAATATGGCAACGCAGCTTCACCTGTACAGCACATTTCATACATAGAGGCAACCCAAAGTGTTTTACACATGTGAGGAAATAAGATTTTTATTTGGGAGTAATTCAAGCCTTGTGTCACAACCAGGCGTCCGTAGCCTTTGTCATTGGGAGGAAACAGGATGTGATGGGAGGGGTCAAAGAGTGGCAGGAGTGTCGGTTTATTTCGAGTCTCACAAGATTCTCCAGGCAGAAAAGACATTATGTGGAGTAGCTTTAACAAATTTGATAATTGATTAAACATTTAAATAATTGATGTTCCATCAACACCACAGGGGAAAATGGATTTGGGTGGCTGTTTTCCTAGAGAAAGATCTGGCTTTGTTTGCAACTTGCTGCTGTTGACGTCAGAGCCTCGGTGAGCGTTTCAAGTCAGGTGGCCTCTCCTCTTCTGCACTGAGAGGGCTGCAAACACTTGTAGTCTGCGTCTTTAATCTCCTGCCTCTCAGCCCGGTGCTCTGCTAGTGTGTAAATAATTTAGTGGAATTTTAAAGTCCCAATTAATTCAAGCAGCAGGGAGGGAGGAAGTCTCCTGCTGATTTATTCATTGGTTATAATGGCTGACATTTATGTCACCAGACAAAATGGAGGCCTATAGAGTCCAGAGAGCAGTAGCTGGAGGACTGCAGTTTCACTGAGGACCAGGATCACGACTCAAACCCTTTGTCATAGTGTTTCAGTACAGACTTCTGCACAGGCCTTGGTGCTGAGTCCTCACGCTGATAGTCTTCATCCTCATTACTTTTCCTCACAAACCAATCTTACTGTATATACAGGCATTTATGTGAACTACAAATAACATTTATAGTCTAATGCGTGTATATCAGTCTACTGCATGCTACTCATTAATATCCAAAACGGCTCCCTGATACACACTCAGAGAAAACAATTGAACCAAAGCAATGAAAAGTTGCAATAAACATACAGTTTACTGCTAAAAGTGCACAATTTAAAACCATGGCTGCATTCAACGGGGTTTGTCTGACAGCTTCGTGGATCACTGCCTTGTCTGTTTGGTCCTTTTCTGTTATAATGCAATACTAAATGTGAAGTGGGCCCAAAGCAGGCAGAGTATTTTGAAGTTGCACAGCAAATCTAAACATTTCAGGTCTCCATAGCTGTCACAGGTTTTCAGATGCCACATCAGTGAATTATCTTAACTTGAACTTGTAAGTTGTTTGGCTGCTTTTCACAGCGATGTGTCACAGTGTACAGTCCAGGTTGGGGGAGTCAATGATCCAGGCCCATGTGGACGGGGGGGTCAGAATCTCCTAGGCTCAGAGTCGCCGAGGAGGGAGCGACCTTTACAAAGACATGGGCGGATATTACTTTTCCGTTAAACCGCACAGATTGTTAATTGTGTCCTTTCTTGTCAGAACGCGCCTACTAGCTGTGAGAATGTCGGGGAAATCACCAGAAAGCGCAGCTAAGGTTTCAAACTAGCTGGGGTTTTTTCTAAAGTCGGTGAATCCATAAAGCTTGCGTGCTACAATAGCACACCTGGCTCAAACCGATGCCAAGATAGTCAGTTAAACAGTTTTTATTTATTTTCTTTTACCTGGGGGTCCGTGCCTGTGAACGGTATTTCCTCAAGGATCTGCCTGAAAGATGGAGAGTCAGTAGTGGAAATGGGCATTTCGTCTGCCACATATCCAGGACAAGTTTAATTAATTCTTTGTTGCTTGTTGCCTGCTGATTAAAATCCAGTTTAGGTTGTTTAGCTATTGAAGGAGTGCAGCCGTCCTCCACAACCACAGAGGGCTCATCTTTTGTCTGGGTGCATCTCCACAAGCTTCACACTGTTGTGCTGTCTTAAGAGGTTTGAGGTCGTGTTTTTCACAGTGGGAAGAGTTTTACTCCTATCTGCACACGGTTTATGTTTTACCCCTACCTGCACACGGTTTACGTTTTACAGAAATGTTATCACCCATAATCAAAGTATTTCCAGAAACTGAACATGGGCACTTCCAGGATAGTTTAGCATGTGTGATCACTACAGTCGATACGAATATTAAATGTCAGATTTCAAATCAATCTTTGATGCAGTGATGACAAAAGCAACATTGTAATGTTGTTTTTCTTTCTCCTTATGAATTTACTTTATTGAATTTTTCTTTATTATATACGGAATACCAGACTGCACAGATTGTATACACCAACACTACACACCCTCACACACACAAACTAAATGTAAAAATTTTTCTTTTGTAAATGTTTGTCTTCGCTTCCATATTGCCCTTTGTCCCATAAACATGTCACTTTGTGTTGCAATAAAAGAAAACATTGCTCTGAGCTAGTGTTGAAGAAATTTTCCTCCTGTCCCACGTGGATGGATTCGTGCACCTGAAAGCAGCCACTCAGGCAGCAGCCTCATTATCTAGTCATGACTTAATCCCACTCCTCTCCAACATCTGTCCTCATTTCAAGCGTTGTCATTTGAAGCAGTCAGCTTAGTAGTGTTTGGCCTTGCTGCATCCTCCTTCGGCAGGAGCAGATGAAACTCTCTGTGCTCTCTGCAGTTCAGAGCAGTTTGTGCTGAGTGATGCACAGAGGCAGATTAGCTGCTATGAGCAGGCTCCCCTGGTGGCAGCTGCAACTGTCACCTCCTGTTTCATCCACTTAACATTGGCAAATTTCCATTTATCACTGTAAGGAGGACTCTCTCTGTGTTGTCTGTCTACGGCGCCCCCTGCTGATTTCAAATCTCACCAACACACTTGTTTCCTCTGGCGTTTTGCTTAATCTCTGTGTTGAGACTCCTTCAGAGAACAGAGGTGACTTCTGTTCCGCGTCATTATCCCTGAAGCTCCACGACTGCTGTTGGTTCACGCTCTGCAGGTTTGTCGCTCCCCTGAGGCAGCGTTACTAAAGCTGGAAGCCCGGTTCAGTCTGGATATGTGTTATCGTACATCACGCTTATGTTGTGCTCTATTTATTGTTATAAGTTTTATTTCCTGTAGCCCACTCTCTCTGTACAATTTAAATGGATTAATTTATTGAACTTAAATAAAATAAACCCACAGTTACTGTGGAAAATGTGACTGAGTCGTAATTTGGCCTGATCATGTACAGAGAGGCTCCTGTTGCAGAGATCTCGAGTTGGCTGTAGGTGTAGCAGGACTCCTGTCCAGTCTGCTTTAATACTAAGGCTAAACAAGTTCAATCATAAGACAATGGAAGTAAGTGTGAAGTTTGTTTCTGACCTTTCTTTCTTTTTTTATTTTAAATCTATCACAGCTGGTTGACAAAAATCAGCTGTGTGTGTTCGTGGTGATGTCGTGTGGCTCCTGGATGTTTTAGTGGTTGTTGACAACAGTGGAGCTCTGTAGTGCAGAGGGAAGGTTTGGACATGCACGCACACACACGCACGCACGTGCGCACACACACACACACACACACACACACACAGTACTCGCTAGTAGTCACAGGACATCGTTAATGCTAGTAGACTCAGGCCATCGTTCATTTTAGAATAGTTTTAAATAATAAGAGCTTGAACATAAATTGCACGATAAACCCCCTGTGTATAATAAATATTATCGTTCTTAATAAAACAAATTCTGACGGTAAATGAGTCCAGTGAGTCCACTAATGCAGAAGAACGTGGGTCTTTGCAGATGTAAACAGTTCTGTGAGGTAGCAGACTGTTCCTGCCCCTGGAGAAGGAATCTATTATGTATAATTGCAGAGAATATCTGCAGACACGATGCAGACATTAAAACCTGTGTTTTCATCCCATGGGGCCTCATAAATCAGAGATTACTGCATGAGTGTCTGGCCAGGTTTCACTGTCATGCCGTGTACCTGCATAGCTCCCAAGGGTTTTTGAATGCTACATGAATTGGTTTATAACTTCAGTGAAGTTTTGTTTTCATTGTTTAATTGGTTTTCTCATTTTACATTTGACCACAGCACAAGTGAGTGTGTGTGGTTGTCTAGTTCTGCATGTCAACTTTCTTACTGTTTTATCTTGAGCCTCTTTTCCACAGAGATTCTGCTGTAATTGGTGATAAACTGGCCCTTTTTTTTAATATTGTGCCTTTGCCTATTTCCACAGCCAAACGCAGCCAGCCAAATGGCCGCCCCCATGTGCTTTTTGCACAGAGTGTCCCAGTATTAGAGGCGTGGTGTCCAGTGTTGCACAGAACCATGCATTTAACACACATATTGGAAATACACAGCATACTGGCACCATTACTGTCAAATCGACAGTGGCTGCATGTGCAATGGTGTCAGTGCTGCCATACTGTAACTGTGCGTGTCCCTCCTGTGTTTGAGTAAGGCCACCTTTAGCCCTGACATTAGGAAAAAAACAAATGGGAACAAATGGTGTGAAACCTGAATGTCTGAGGTTGGAACGTTTAGCTTCACTTGGAGAGCGCCTCTTGGTCAAATGGAAACTTTGAGTTGTGGATATTACACTGGTAAAGAAACAGTTTTGTCTGGCTCTGGGTACTTATTGCTCTCTCTCCTTGGCAGGGCTTCCTGAAGAGTGAGCGTGTTACCCGGATGGTTCAGAGTGGCGGCTGCTCCGCCAACGACTTCCGTGAGGTTTTCAAGAAGAACATCGAACGCCGTGTTCGCAGCCTCCCAGAGATCAACGGCCTGAGTAAAGAGACCGTGCTGAGTTCCTGGATCGCCAAATATGATGCCATCTACAGAGGGGAGGAGGACATGCGGCGTCAGCCACAGCGGGCGCACCTGAGCGCCGTGTCAGAGCTCATCCTCAGCAAGGAGCAGCTGTTTGAGATGTTCCAGCAGATCCTTGGCATCCGCAAGTTCGAGCACCAGCTGCTGTATAACGCCTGCCAGGTGAGCTGTTAAGGTTAACTGGTGCAAACACACTATAGCACAGTGTTATTTGTTCTTGCTTATATTACTTGTGTAACAGCGTCCACGCCTGGAGCAGATGCCTTTCATTAAGGTGGAGATCAGAGTCAATGCCTTAGTGAGCCCACTGCTGTGCTTTTCCTCCCATGTGATCCCAGTCACACTGATGGATTTCTGCCTGGCTGACTCTGTCTCTTGGGTGCCATCATTAGAGCGCTCAGCAGCAGCTATGCTCAGGCAATCGAAATTTCAGCACTAACAGACAAATGTAAAAGGTTGTCCAGAACCCTTGATTTAACCACTAAACCACAGATGTTATTAAATCTTTGTTGAATCCATCCATTTCTAACCGCTTTACCCGAGTCGCTGTAAAAATGAATGGGTGGGATCCTTTTCTGTGGCAAGGAATCGTTCATCATTCCTGTGGCTGTGACATTCGGTGCTGACTCTGGCTGCTTTTAGTTCAGTGGTTAGTTTCTGTTGCTGGGTCAGTCTGTTCCTTTTGTGCTAGTTGTTGCAGTCTTTCAGTAAGTCTTTGATTGGGAAGTAGTGCACTGTGTGTTACTGAATCATTTGTGACCGGCCTGTACACATTCATCTCTTTAAAACATAATCTTCATGTTGAACTGAGAAACCAGATTGGTAGCTCTGTTATTCACCAGTGACAACATTCACGTTTCCTTCCATTTGTCACCCACCTGTATATCTTCTAGGTCAAACTCCAGCTATGGTTGAGACAAGTGGAAAGTCATTGGCTACAACATAATGCAGCACTCTTAAAGAGGAATTACAGCAAATTTACACATCTAAGTCTGTTTACAGGTGTTGGCGAGTACTACTGCATATGAAAACAGTTGTGTGGAGCGTTTTGTGGCTCCTACAGGAGCTGTGTGTAGACTAACAGTTGACATCACTGAAGTCGGCATCGGCCGGGTCTGAAGACTGAGTTGGAAGCGCATGAAGTGACCGGGGCTCTGTAGCTCGCTCCTCCTAGGTTAACAAACCTCAGACCAGACTGCTGGGAATCCAGCTGCACTCTGGGTAATCTAGGTGGCAGGTTTTTGACAAGGGAAAAATCAAAATGTAAACTAAATGATATATTGATTGTAGCAGTGTTCGTTCTGTTCAGTCTCTGTGCTGTTGCTCCAGACTGGTCAGGTGATGTCTACAACTTAATTGGAGACCACCTGAGTTTTACCCTTTGTAGTCATCGAATAACAGTTTAATCCAAATGTCATTCATGCTTTTTATTATTATTATTATTATTCATTTCTTCCCAGCTCCTATTTTAATCTCAGAAATCAGAGCAGTAACCTTCTGGTCCCACCCCGCTGACCTTTAGACCACTGCTGCCTCTTTGTTAGGGCTTGACACTTCTTGTACAACTGATTAAAAAAGACATTTTAACTTGTAACAAATGTAGTGAAGTTCAAGTTTCTCACGGCAAACAGCCTCATTAGCAGCAGACACTGCAGAGCATCATGAAGGTGTCAGCATCTCAGCACAGTGCTGCTCAGTAATTAGACAGTCACCGAGTCTACACAGTGAGCACCATGTAGTGTGTAACAACACTTACTGTATTTTTACACATAGGAGTGCTGACGTGCACTGAGAGTGAAGATAGAGGCTGTAGCATGAGGAAGAAAGTAGAGCTGGACAGGCATCGTGGGACTGAACCCACAGCAGCAGTAGGTGGGTGCAGCTCCTCCATGTGTGTTTTCAACAGAAAGCTGCAGTACTTCTGTTGCCTGTGTTACCCACGTTATGGAGGATAAACAGCAGTGACTGAGGAAGATCTCTGCTAGGAACTCACACACCCAGTGCACTGCACAAGGTACAGTGTGCAGCAGTTTTCAATTGTTTCTGAAGAGTTGAATCCATCACTGCAAAGGTTCAGAGCATCAGAAATGTTCAGTGTGCTCCAGAGCTTTGTGCACATTAACTGTAAGAATCTGCTCTTTGAGTGACAACCACAAATGTGCAATGAGAGGAGACTTGGATGCATGTAAAACAAAACTTTGAGGCAGTTGAACTTATTTAATGAAAAATCTTATCAAAAAGAATTTATTATTCACAGTAGTGTTGTTGTGTGTCTTAATACATGTCTGTGTGTTTCAGTTTGTTGGTTGGCTTGTTTTCGGCTTGTCCGCCCATCTCCTTCTCATGTAGGTAAGCGGTCTAGGGTCAAAGGTCACCATGACCTTAATAGCTGTCCCACTCTCGTCAATGGAATATCTCAAGAACACCTGGAGGTTGTTACATCTGCGACGTGACCGGTTGGCAGAGCCATACAGTACATCTGGGATTCAGGTTCTCTTTTGTTGTCGTCACCGCCCAAACAAGAACAAAAACAGGTAAAGTAATGAAATTAATAAAATAAATAATGAACTAGAACTGCTGCCTCGTGGATGTGTGGCTCTGACAATCGGCCAAGTTTACATTCATGTCTGAATCAGACTAATACGTGTAGTGAAGACGGTGAAAGAATTTAATGAAAGATATTAGGTGTATTTAATTTGAACAATTCCCTACAAGGCATCCTGAGATATGTTCATAAGAATGGGACAGGCATGACCTCACAGTGACCTTTGACCACCAAATTCTAATTGGCTCATCCTAGAGTCCAAGTGGACGTCTGTGCCACTTTAGAAGAAATCCCCTCAAGGTGTCCCTGGGGACGGGAAGGACGACCCAGAAACATAACGCCTCTGGCCACAGCTGTTGCCGGTGTTGAGGCATGAGACTGTGCCAGAGAGTAGCAGGCTTGACTTCCTAGTGTGCCATCAGCTCCTTCATGTTGTATCTGTGGCTTGTCACTAACCAGCTGCAGCTTCAGGTCTGATTTAAACCTCCTGTAAATGTAATCAGTTTGAAGGATTACTTAGTAGGAGGGTTCAGAGAGTGTTCTGGATCAGTGCAGTGAATGTTACTGTAAAATGTGACCAAATTTCAAACTGGTGTGCAGTTGAACTCTGACCTCCCTACATCGACTGTTATTATTACTCCCACCCAGCATGTTCAGCCTTCAGGTCTGGATAGCTCAGATCCCGTCAAGTCCCTCATGGTGCGTCTCCTGACCTGCAGGGACCTCTGTTTGCTGCCTGCTGTAACTTAAAGGTCGCATTTAAAGGTTACAGACTGAAAATGACTAATCAACAGCCTTCACTTCACAGTTTGAGAGGAGCCTGCGGAATAAACAAGCATCTTTTAGTGAGGCATTTGCATTCACAAGTCATTTAACAGGTGTTCCTGTGTGAGTAGCTTTCACTATTATTATTATTTGTTTGTGTGGTGATGTAGCAGCACTTTTAATCTTTCCTTCCTCTGTTTTTCTGTCCTCTGTGTGTGCCGACCTCAACACACACTCTGTTTCTATCAAAAACATTGAGACCATTATGTTCTGTAAACAAATGTTTGACTTCAACCATATTACTGTCCTGAAGTACATTTGGTTTGCAGGCAGTTCTAAAACAAGCAGGTCACAGGAATGCACTGCTGACGAGGAGCAGTAGCAATGCAGGGAAGAAGGAATATAAATAAAAAAAAAAAAAAAAAAAAAACACGAACCTACAAAAAGCAAATGTACCTATAAAAATAAAAAACAGTAGCCTAAGAACTCAGACAGAAGGATTGCCACCATTCTGTGTTAAAGACTGAGATCAAGATCAAGTCCAATAGCCGTAAGTAAAGCAGAGTTCCTGGTAAGATAAAGTGCAGCTGTGCAAAAAAAAAAAACAATTCTGTTCAGTCAAGATGTTTATGATAAAGGATCTCATGGCGGTTGGTCAGTCAGATTCCCTGTGAAGTGGGTGATCAGGACAGACTGACTGCTACGCCGGCTTCCATGGGGGGGGGTCAGTGACCGCTGTGACAGTGGCCAGTTGTCCAGAGCCAGAGCACAAGTGTAGAGTGTAGCTTAAGGAGCATAGTTTTTTTTTTATATAATTATTAGTTTGCGTGGACAGTCCTGTCCAGAAGTCTTCAGTGTATTCCCACTGCCCTGCAGAGGAAACTGCACGTTAGTAACCTTCAGTGATTCTCCTGATTGTTTCCTTCTCTGAACATAAATAGGTTCCATTTACAGATTACTTCACAGCCCACTGAGACATCGTCGCCCGTAGAACAAGCACAAAGTGTCTGTTGCCAGGACGGATTCTATTATTGTCCTGCTTCATTAGAGGCCCACATGGGAAGAGGGAGGGTGGGGGGAGAAACGATCAGGATCTAATTGCATTTTTACTCTCACCTGTTTTCTTAAAAGCTAGGTATCAAGTATTCCCAACAGAAGCTGTTCACAACACATTTTTCAAGCCGTGTCACTGGTCCCCAGGGCTGCTCCCAGTCTGCAACCAACTGAACAGAAATAGCTTCAGTTTACAGATCACTTCACAAGCTGTTCTTCTACAGGCGGATTGTAGGTGGAGGAAATTGTACTAAAGACACCCAGCTGATTAGTCTCACACTGAGGACTCACTTTGTCTCTACGTAATGTCCCACACTTTTATTTTGACATTTCCTGTTTCTCCTTGCCAAGCTGTCTCCTTGTTTCTTTGTGGACTGGTAATGTTACTCTACTCACCTGTCATCCATGCTTTCATCTGTGAAGAAGAAATCATTCTCCTCTGTTCAGCGACTGTGGACTGTCAGTGACGTTACAGTGACGTATGTTTCTCGGAGTCCCTGGGATTTCTCACCTTTTTTGTTCCCTCTGACTCGGTGGTGTCTCCATTCATGCTCCGTTTACAGTCCTGTAATGTGAAGAGTTTAGCACTGTATATTTATCCCAAAATCTCATTGTTTGCATTACTGAAACTCACGATGGACCCAACAGTCTGCTCAATTCTTGACACAGGCCCATCTGTTAGAACTGGGGGCTTGTTAAAAACCAAGCGAGCAGTGAAATATTTGTGATAATGGCTCGTGACTAACGGCTCCACCACGCTCATCATTCAAGTCAGTGATAAAGTCAAGCTATTATAATT